CCTTATTTTCCTCGACATTTTTAAATGTGTACGATTTTGCTTCAAAACACGATGGGGCGATAAATATATGTTATCCACATCAAATAATGGTGTCGTGTTCGAAAACAAATCATTCCGGAGACGTTGCTTACATTTTTCGTCCTTGCCCCTATTTACCCTTATTTTCCTCGACTTTTTTAAAGTGTACGATTTTGCTTCAAAACACGATCGGACGATAAATTTATGTTATCCACATCAAATAATGGTGTCATATTCGAAAACAAGTCTTTCCAGAGACGTTGCTTACATTTTTCGTTCTCGCCCCTATTTACCCTTATTTTCCTTGACTTTTTAAACGTGTACGATTTTTCTTCAAAACACGATGAGGCGTTAAATATAAGTTATCCACAACAAATAATGGTGCCGTGTTCGAAAACAAGTCGTTCCGGAGACGTTGCTTACATTTTTCGTCCTTGCCCCTATTTACCCTTATTTTCCTCGACTTTTTTAAACATGTACGATTTTGTTTCAAAACACGATGGGGCGATAAATATATGTTATCCACATCAAATAATGGTGCCGTGTTCGAAAACATGTCTTTTCGGAGACGTTGCTTACATTTTTTGGTCTTTCCCTTAGTTGCCCTTATTTTTCTCAACTTTTTTAAACGTGTACGATTTTTCTTGGAAACATGATGGGGTGATAAATATATGTTATCCACATCAAATAATAGTGTCGTGTTCAAAAACAAGTCTTTCCGGAGACGTTATTTATATTTTTCGTTCTTGCCCCTATTTACCCTTATTTTTCTCGACTTTTTTAAAAATGTACGATTTTGCTTCAAAACACGATGGGGCGATAAATATATGTTATCCACGTCAAATAATGGTGCCGTGTTCGAAAACAAGTCTTTCCGGAGATGTTGCTTACATTTTTCATTCTTGACCCTATTTACCCTTATTTTTCTCGACTTTTTTAAATGTGTACGATTTTTCTTCAAAACACGATGGGGCGATAAATATATGTTATCCACATCAAATAATGGTGTCGTGTTCGAAAACATGTCTTTCCGGAGTCGTTGCTTACATTTTTCGTTCTTGCCCCTATTTACCCTTAATTTCCTCGACTTTTTTAAACGTCTACGATTCTGCTTCAAAACACGATGGGGCGATATATATATGTTGTCCACATCAAATAATGGTGTCGTGTTCGAAAACAAGTCTTCTTGCCCCTATTTACCCTTATTTTCCTCGACTTTTTTAAACGTGTACGATTTTTCTTCTAAACACGATGGGGCGATAAATATATGTTATCCACATCAAATAATGGTGTCGTATTCGAAAACAAGTCTTTCCGGAGATGTTGCTTACATTTTTCGTTCTTGCCCCTATTTACCCTTATTTTTCTCGACTTTTTTAAACCTGTACGATTTTGCTTCAAAACACGATGGGGTAATAAATATATATTATCCACATAAAATAATGGTGCCATGTTCGAAAACAAGTCTTTCCAGAGATGTTGCTTACATTTTCGTTCTTGCTTCTAGTTACCCTTATTTTTCTCGACTTTTTTGAACGTGTACGATTTTGCTTCAAAACGCGCTGGGATGATAAATATCTGTTATCCACGTCAAATAATGGTGCCATGTTCGAAAACAAGTCTTTCTGCAGATGTTGCTTACATTTTTCGTTCTTGCCCCTATTTACTCTTATTTTCCTCGACTTCTTTAAACGTGTACGATTTTTCTTCAAAACATGATGGGGCGATAAATATATCTTATCCACATCAAATAATGGTGTCGTGTTCGAAAACAAGTCTTTCCGGAGACGTTACTTATATTTTCGTTCCTGCCCGTATTTACCCTTATTTTCCTCAACTTTTTTAAACGTGTACGATTTTGCTTCAAAACACGATGGGGCGATAAATATATGTTACCCACATCAAATAATAGTGTCGAGTTCGAAAACAAGTCTTTCTGGAGATGTTGATTACATTTTTCGTTCTTGCCCTTATTTACCCTTATTTTCCTTGACTTTTTTAAATGTGTACGATTTTGCTTCAAAACACGAGAGGGCGATAAATATATGTTATCCACATTAAATAATGGTGTCGTGTTCGAAAACAAGTCTTTCCGGAGACGTTGCTTACATTTTTCGTCCTTGCCCCTATTTACCCTTATTTTTCTCGACATTTTTTAATGTGTACGATTTTGCTTCAAAACACAATGGGGCGATAAATATATGTTATCCACATCAAATAATGGTGTCGTGTTCGAAAACAAATCTTTCCGGAGACGTTGCTTACATTTTTCGTCCTTGCCCCTATTTACCCTTATTTTCCTCGACTTTTCTAAACGTGTACGATTTTTCTTCAAAACACGATGGGACGATAAATTTATATTATCCACATCAAATAATGGTGTTGATATGGGATATTATATACACAAGGCTAAACCGGTCTGCTGGGGCGGTCGAGAAGGTTAATCCAAGAGGGAGCCAAGCCAAAAGGCAGGAAGATCGAACATTCAAGGAATCGACCAGGCAGGTGGTCGACCAGTCCACCGCACGACCAGACTAATGATCGAGCAACCCATCGCTCGACTAGATACATGATCGAGCAACCTATTCGACCTCAACAGGTCGATCGCTTCGAGGAACTAACAGTCGGCCTAGTCATGGGCGCGTGTATCACGGGCGCACGTAAGAGCCTCCAACTGAGTCCCAGGAGAATATTTACCCCATGTGCAGGGGGGACACGTGTTGAAAATGTATTGGGTGATAGCGATAACCACCTCTGACAGCTCCCAACGCCCCGCGCCACCTCTGACATGTGCGCGGCGTGCCAGAGTACGGACGGGCAGCTTCGGCAGCCAGCTCATCCTTATCCGGGCAGCTATTAGGGCAGGTATCTCACCCCTATATAAAGGGGGTCAGCCTTTTTCCTTGAACACATTCTATTTTCCATACTTCACTTCAGCATACTTATACACATACTGACTTAAGCATCGGAGGCTCTTCACCGGACACAACCCCCGGTGTGAGAGTTATTTGCAGGTTGCCGGCGTTCTACCGGCAAGGACCAAGATCTATCTGTTCAAACCGGACCAGGATGCTTACACTTGTATTATTGGCGCCGTCTGTGGGGATTCTTTGTTCAAAAAGTTGTGTTTGACGCTCAGCTATGGCGGACGGAATTCCTAAAAACTTGCAGTCGACGTTCGATGAAGCTTGGACGACGACCAGGCCGTTTGGGCACGGCCCTCCTCCGGGCTTTTCCGGCCCATCGTAGACTCCGGTCACTCCCGCACCTAACTTTCAAGGTGTAGGAGTGACGACGGTGATTCCCGGAGGAGATGCCAGCTCCAGTCAGGCCCAGGAGGCTCGTGTAGCTGCAGCAGCGGCGATGCCACCATCACCACCACCAGATCCAACACAAGGGCAGGGAGGAGTGCTGGCGCAAGGAGGAGTGCCACCACAGGCAGCCATACAAGCCCCCGGTCAACAAATGGTGGCAATGACCCGAGAGGAGATGCAAAGGATAGCGGCAGCCGCGGCGGCGCAGGCGGTGCAGCAAGTTGCGAGTCATACATCTCATGCCACCACTGCGCCGACCACGGTAGCCGGAAGCCAAGATGAGGATGTGTCTAGTTATGGAGAGGAGGAGCTGGAAGAGATCGGGCAATGGAGAGGATGGCGGAGCAGTTGCGCCAGCTGCAAGACAAGGTGGAGGGGAGGCCAGAGAGGAGAGCTCGAGGACATCCCTTTTCAAGGGAGATTCTCGCTGCTCCTTTGCCAAACAATTTCAAGGAGACCAACTTGGTGTATGACGGGTCATCTGACCCATCGAGGCATGTGAGGACTTTTGAAAATATGGCTGTGTTGCATGGGTACTCTGATTCTGTTTGTTGCAGGGCATTTTTATCGACCCTGCGTGGGGGAGCATTCGATTGGTTTCATCAACTTCCACCTGGGTCGATCGCGAGCTTTGAGGACTTTACTGGCAAGCTTATCAATCAATATTCGAGCGCGGTGGTGCAGGAGAAAACGTATTTTACTTTGATGGCGATGAGGCAGGGGGAGAAGGAATCATTAAGGAAGTACGTTGCTCGATATAACCAAACATGTTTGGAGGTGCACTCGGCTTCGGACGAGGTGAAGGCGGGTGGATTGATAAGGAGTCTTCGAGCAGGGCCTTGTCGAACTTCCCTAGCAAAAACCCCTGCTCGATCATATGAGGATGTGCTGAAGCGGTGCAGGAAGTATATTAACTTGGAGGAGATGGAGATGGAGTTTGCGAAGTTGGAGGGAGTGGCTCGACCAGAGCCAAAAAAGGAGAAAAGTCCGCAGAGGGAGAGATCACCGAGGAGGAATTCACCCAAGTGGAGTGGGCAGAAGAGGGCATCACCCCGAAGAGAGAGTCGAGATTTGAAAAGGGAGAAGAGAGATGAGTGGCAGAGGAGGCCGATGTTGTTCGAGAGACAGAGATACCACACTTTCACGCCCTTGAGGAAAGACATGATGGAGGTCCTCGAGGCCATGGAGCAGAAGATGTCGATTGAGGATGTGACTTGACCGAAGAAGAGGTTTACAAGCCCAATTCGACCTAGGTCGGATATTTACTGTCGCTTTCACCGAGATTATGGTCACACCACGGAGAATTGCAGACATTTGAAAGATGAGATAGAGAGGCTGATTCGAGCGGGATATTTGAAAGAATTTGTGTATCATGACAAGGTAAAAGGGAAAGGAAGGAGAAGGTGTAGGGAGGATTCAGAAGAAAGGAGTGATAGAGATGAGGAGGGAGATGGCAGAATTGGTCGAGACGGTCGAGGAAAGAAGCCAAGGAGAGATGGCGATAAAGAGAGGCATGGAGGAGAAGCCCCGGTGAAGAGAGGGACGATTTACATGATTTCTGGTGGGCCAACGGATGGAGACTCGAATAGGGCCAGGAAGGAGCATGCTCGAGCTGTGAAGAGGAAGAGAGAGGAGGTAGGGATTACGGCTCGCATGCCGGTCATAAGTTTTAAAGCAGAGGATGCCGAGGGAGTGGTCCTACCGCACAATGACGCTTTGGTGATAACCGCGGAGATTGCAGGCTTCGACGTGAAAAGGGTGTTTATTGATACTGGGAGCTCGGTAGATGTTATGTTCTATGATTGTTTTGTGCAAATTAATGAGGAGCTGAATATGGAGCTGAAACCGGTGACTACGGCACTTTACGGCTTTAACGGGGGAGAAGTTATGCCGATGGGAGAGGTCAGTTTGCCCGTGGCATTGGGATCGGGAGAGTTGAGGAAGGTGCGCATGGTGAGATTTATGGTTGTAGGGGCTGAGTCGTCCTATAACATCATCATGGGGCGGACGAGCTTGAATGCATTCTAGGCGGTCGTATCCACGTACCACATGACGATCAAATATCCGGTGGGCGAAAACGTAGGGGAGATTGCCGGGGATCAGCTCACTTCAAGAAGTTGCTACCAAACAACAGTCAGCAATAACAAGCAATTGGCGAAGAGGCAGGCCGAGTCGAAGGGGGAGGAGATTAACCGACCAGGGGGATCGAGGTCGAAGGAGGATAAGCAGAAAGTGGAGAAAGGTAAGGAGAAAATGGATATCCAACCTGGGGAAGAAGTTGAGGAGATTCAAATGATCGAGGGGTGTGAAGGGAGAAAGTTCAGGATCGGAAAGGATCTGGAAGAGCCTATTCGGTCGAGGCTGATCTAGTTGGTTAGGGAGTTCGCTGATATTTTTGCCTATACAGCAGAGGAGTTAACGGGAATAAGTGCAGAGGTGATCGAGCATCGGCTAAACATCGACCTCAGCGTGAGGCCGGTGAAGCAGAAAAGAAGGCACCATGGGGCGGAGATGGACAAGATCATCGAGCAGGAGGTCGAGAAACTGTTGGGAGCACGACATATTAAAGAGATTCAGTTCCCCGAATGGCTGTTGAACACGGTGATGGTGTCGAAGGCAGAAGGGAAGTGGAGGATGTCCATTGATTTCCGCGATCTGAACAAAGCATGCCCGAAGGACTTATATCCACTGCCCAGAATTGACCAGCTGGTCGACTCAACGGCAGGGTGCGAGCTGTTGAGCCTGATAGATGCCTTCCAGGGATACCACCAAATTCCCTTGGCGAGAGATGACAAGAAGCGGGTTAGTTTCGTAACGAGTCAAGGGACCTATTGTTACGTACTCATGTCGTTCGGCCTAAAGAACGCGGGCACCACGTATCAAAGGTTGGTCGATAAAATCTTTAAGGAACAGCTGGGGAGGAACATGGAGGTGTATGTGGATGATATGTTGGTGAAAAGTAAGGAGGAGTTGGATCACGTGCGAGATTTGAAAGAAACGTTCCTAACATTACGGAGGTATGGGATGAAGCTGAATCCTGCTAAATTCTCTTTTGGGGTGAGGTCAGGAAAATTCTTGGTTTACTTGGTGACCAAGAGAGGTATTGAAGTCAATCCGGAGAAGGTTCGAGCTGTGATGGAGATGAAGTCGCCGACGAATGTTAAAGAGGTGCAGATCTTAGCTGGTCGAATTGCGGGGCTGAGTCATTTTATATCGAAGGTGGCGGAGAAGAGCGGCCCATTATTCAAAACGTTGAAGAAGAGTGCGAAATTCCAATGGACGGAGGAGGCACATAAGGCATTCGAGGAGTTGCGAGGGGTGCTGGCCAACCTTGCATTATTGGCTAAACCCATACAGGGCGAAGAGCTGGTGCTGTACATTTCTAATGGAGAGAGGGCTGTGAGTTCGGTGTTGTTACGGGAGGAAGGAATGGCGCAATTTCTTATCTACTATGTGAGTAGAGTGATGCTGGGGGCCGAGATGAGGTATTCGGAGATTGAGAAGTGTGCTTTAGCTGTGGTTGTAACTGCTCGAAAGTTAAGACCTTATTTCTTGAATCATAAGGTGAAGGTGCGAACGAATATGCCGCTGGGAGAAACACTTGGTCGGCCATCAGTCTCTGGTCGATTGGTGAAGTGGGCGGTCGAATTGAGTGAGTATTCTTTGATGTACGAGCCAAGGAGGGCCATAAAGGCACAGGTGTTGGCTGATTTTATCCAGGAAGGCACGAAATTCGAGGAGGAGTCAGAGGGATTATAGCAGTTGTTTGTGGATGGATTTGTGGCCCGAAGCGGGGCAGAATTGGGAATTGTCCTTGTCTCTCCCAAAGGCGATTACTTAGAATTTGCGGCTAAAGAGGGGTTCAAGATATCCAATAATGAAGCTGAGTATGAGGCAGTGATTAAGGGCTTGAGTCTAGCCAAAGCAGGAGGAGCTCGAAAATTACAAGTGCATTCCGATTCTCAACTGGTGGTTGGGCAGTTTCAAGAAGGGTTTGAAGTCAAAGAGGATCAGATGCAAAAATATGTGGATGAGATGAAGAAGCTGAGAGAGGAGTTTGATTCGTTTGAACTAATACAAATTCCTCGAGGAGAGAATGGTCGAGCAGACCTATTGTCGAAGATTGCTCAGAGCTTGGTTGATTGCAAGAGTAGAAGTGTCACTCTGTTGCATCTTGAAAAGAGTGTGATCGAAGCAGAAGTGGCGGAGATGGAAGAAGTGGAGGATTGGAGGGCCCCGATCTTGGAGGAGCTGAGAGGAGGAGCGATAAAGGTGGTTAGGAGGTTTTTTTAGCATGGAGGCATTCTTTACAAACGATCATATGGAGGACCACATTTGCGTTGTGTTACTAAGGAAGAAGGTCGATACGTGCTAAGAGAGATGCACGAAGGGTGTTGCAGTGACCATAGTAAGTCAAGGGCCTTGGTCGCGAAGATTTTGAGGGCAAGATATTTTTGGCCGACGATGAGAGAAGATGCAAAGACGATGGTGAAGAAGTGCTTGCAATGCCAAAAGCATGGCCCCCTTATCCACCAACCGGCCGAAGCCATGACAACGGTGAGTGCTCCTATACCATTCGCCCAGTGGGGTATCGACCTGGTGGGGCCGATGCCTCAGGGGACCGGGCAAAGGAAGTTCTTAATAGTGGCGGTCGATTATTTCACGAAATGGGTGGAGGCCGAGCCCTTAGCGAAGATTACAGAGGAGAAAGTAATTAAATTTCTATACAATAACATTTGTTGCCGGTTTGGTGTACCTAAAGTGTTGATTTCCGACAACGGCACTCAGTTCAATGGGAAGCGGATTCGAGCATGGTGTGAAAATATGAAAATCGAACAACACTTTGCCTCCGTGGCGCATCCGCAAGCTAACGACCAGGTCGAGGTAACCAATCGAATTATACTGAATGGGCTGAAGACAAAGTTGGAGAAGGCCTCGGGAGCATGGGTCGATGAGCTGAGCTCCGTACTTTGGGTGTATCGCACAACTCCAAGGTCGACCACAGGAGAAACCCCGTTCAGTTTAGCTTATGAAATGGAAGCATTGCTGCCGGTCGAGATTGAGTTATCTTCCCAGAGGTCGAGCACGTATACTGCTGAACAGAACGAGGATCTGATGATGGTGGCCTTAGATACTATCGAGGAGCTGCGTGGGAGAGCAGCAATCAGGGTGGAGGCGTACAAGTAGAGGATGCGAGCCGCTCATGACAAAAAGGTGAAAATTCGCAGACTCCAGGTCGGTGACCTGGTTTGGAAGCATGTCGATGTACTCAAGCATGTGGGAAAACTGGAGCCAAATTGGGAAGGGTCATACCTGGTCGAGCGAGTGCACGCAGGAGGAGCGTACTCACTCAAGGATGCCAAAGGCCGATCACTTGCCAGGTCATGGAACATAGCTAATCTGAAAAAATATTATGTCTGAAAATTTTTGTTTTTTTTTAAGAAGCCTGGGAAGCTCGAACAATGATGTAGATTACAAAATTTGTTAAAAGTCAATGAAATTCAGTGATTTTTCCGATTTTACCCGCTTTATTGCACATTTTCTTATGCTTGGAATGTTGGCATAATTTGGATGACAGGATATATGTGGTATAGTCGGGCTGGGTGGTCGCTTGTTTAGAACATTCCTTGGGGTGGGCAGGTTGGTCGAAGACCTCCTGTTTAGAACATTCCTCGGGGTGGGCTAGTGTGAAGACCAAAATCCACCATGACTAAGGCCCTCGGGCTGGGTGGTCGTTTGTTTAGAACATTCCTTGGGGTGGGCAGGCTGGTCGAAGACCTCTGTTTAGAACATTCCTCGGGGTGAGCAAGTGTGAAGACCAAAATCTACCATGACTAAGGCCCTCGGGCTGGGTGGTCGCTTGTTTAGAACATTCCTTGGGGTGAGCAGGTTGGTCGAAGACCTCCTGTTTAGAACATTCCTCGGGGTGGGCAAGTTCGAAGACCAAAACCCACCATGACTAAGGCCCT